GAATTTGCCTCTGGGATTTCTGGCCACTGAATCTGATATAATAATGACAGAAATTCATATGTCATTTGGGTATAAATAATATTAAAATTACTTTATGCCATTCTACCTTATTAAAAAAACAGCTAATGAATTGGATATGATTAAAAATCTGTAGCAAAAAGTTAACTTAAATGTGTAACTCCTAATTGGAACTGTTCTGGAAACCAACACGTGGTTTGCCACCATCCTGATTAAGTACAGTCATGTGAGCCGTCACCGTTTTGACTAAGGATGGAGAAGAGGAAGGGCATAAGGCTTCACAGACATCTTGATTAAAGGTGAACCACATGGAATGGATCTACCCAGGAGACAACAGGTCTCCAAGATATAGATGGATTTCTGTATGATAATTCCTGTCCTGTCCTAAAATCAAGGTTTATGAAAGATAGGATTCAAAACAAGTCTGGTTTAATGAGGTATTTGTTATGCCCAAATACACAAAGTCCCCAGTGGGGGAGGTGTGGGGGGCAGTCATGATAAGCTAAGTATGGGCAAGTCACCCAAAGGAAGTTCTTTTTTTTTTTTTTTTTTTTTGGTTTTTTTTTTGGTTTTTCGAGACAGGGTTTCTCTGTGGCTTTGGACCAAAGGAAGTTCTTTACTTCCAACCATTATCACCTGCCAGAGTAGAACTAGGCCATGGGTAATTCTAATAAGAGGCCTGAGTCTCAGTAGTTTACCCTGAGGCAATGCCTGGTTGCAGAAAGAACCACAAACTGAGATTACCTAGCACCACCCAAAAAGAGACCATCCAAAGAAAATGTCTAACATTCCAACTGCTGTAGATAGGATCACCTGCCAGCACACACTCACCAGGACACCCCTAGACAAATGTCAGCCAATCAGGGGTTCTGAGCCTCAGAAACCCCTCACCCCCACCTTTACTACTATAAAAACCCAATTCTAATTGAGCTGGGACTCTCCGTTTATTCCAATACGTTGGAGATGCAGAGAAACCGAGTTTGCAAACTTGATTAAAATAAAGGCTCTTCGCTTTTACATACGGGACTGGGTTTCCTTGTTGGCTTTTGTGGGGACCCCACAGATTGGGGCATAACAGTATGAAAGCTGCCCCTCCATGCATTCATGTACAGGGATGGATCTTCCTGGCAGCCAGGTTTTGTAACCTAAGAGTAAACCCCTTGGTATTGATTTTAGAGACTCTGAATTGTTTACACTGTTGAAACTGCCCGGACTATAACTCACTATGTAGAATAGGCTGGCCTTTAACTTCGGAGAGCTGGAGTTAAAGATGTGGGCCAGCAAGCCCAGTGAGACCCTGTCTAAAAAAAAAAAAACACCACCAAAAGATAGTGAACTTGCAAGATGAGAGGCTTTTTCCTCTTCCTCAGTCTCCAGACTTGATACAAAAGCCAGACAACAGGAAACAAAAGCCTTCTCGGCTTTCTATCGACAGGCCTCCCACTGGTGGACTGGCTCAACTAGTTCCAGGCTTGGTCAGGACAGGTTAGGAAATGATTGTGGGCCAATCAACCACCTAATCTTTCTTCAAACTGACCAATTAAAACTCTTCTGAGACTAAAAAACCTCGGCTCTCAAGAAGAAACAGGATTTTCCAGCCTCTGAGTCCTCCCCTCTCCTCTGTAGAGGGCCTTTTTTTCTGTATATCTGCTGTATTTGTGTGTTCCATCCCTTCCAATAAACATTCTTCTGTTGTTGTCTGTGTGTTTGAGGTCTTTCTACTGCCACCTGTTGCCCTTGAGATTTTTCCTGTCTTTTAAGTATTTAGCTGGCAGCAAAAGTAAAGCCAATCAAGACCCCTAACCTGTCACACAAGTGTATGGGGGCCAGAGGTCAACTTTGGTTTTCATGCCTCGGGAGCTTTTTGGTTTGTTTGCTTGAGGCTCAGTATCCCACTGGGACCTGGGGCTTGACATCTTTGGGTTAGTCTGGGCCAGCAAGGCCCAGAGATCTTTATACTTTGCCTCCCTAGTGCTGGGATTTTACACTCAAACACCCCTTCACCTAGCATTTTACATGGGTTCTCATGCTTGGCTAGCAAGCCCTTTACAGATGGAGCCATCTTCCCAGCCCCTGGGTAATTTTTGGGTAGAAATATTTAATACTGACTTATTCAAGATTGAATTTCAAAGAGAAATTTGCCTTGGTTTCAGATTCTGAAAATTAATTTTTATATTTATATTTTATTTTATGGACGTTTTGCCCGCATGTATGTCTCTGCAGCATCTGTATGCCTGGCACCCTTGGAGGCCTGTAGAGGGCGCCAGATCCCCTGGAACTGGAGTTAGCAGCTGACTGGTACCCAAGTTGTACCCCAAGTCAGGTCCAGCCAGCCATCCTCAATAAGCCAATTAAGAGTTCAACTTAAAAGTGGAAAGTGGAAAAGGGTGATTTTCCACTTGGCACATAGCAAAAAGGGACAAATATATTGAGCAAACTAACCCTCCGGAACGGCCGTTCCTTGCCTGCCTCTACACCAAAGCTAGCACCCTGTGACTAAACCTTTTGGAATCTATCAACTTAGCAAACCATTAGCTTCCACCAACCCAGAAACTCAGAAGCATCGTGGCTCTGTAGAAAGCTTTCCCTGCCTCGCTGTACCGCCGTCTCTGACATAACTTGCTTTGATTCATGACTTTCTTTGCTCTATAAAACCAGAAAAACTTCATTAAACTGCTTCCAGGTTGAAACTTGGAATTTGGAGTAACCTAAATATGTTCCCAGGTCATGGTCACTAACAATGACGCCAGAATAAACTATCTCTTGTTCCCTTCAAGATGAGAGCTGTGGCTTTTGCTACAAACCCATCACTGTCTGGACTTCAGTCTCATCCTGTAAGGTGGTCTAACGAGCTGTTGGCACTCAGTAACATCTCATTCCGGGAGACAAGCTCCCCCTCCAGCTGGTGCCTGTCCCTTCTCCCGGCATGAGGTTTCTGGGGAAATTTCCATTTCTTTGGGGACCATTGTTTCAACAATTTGGCAGAATGAGAGACACAGGTGTCTCTTTAGAAGATCTTCATTTCTGCCAAGGCCTGGTACACTGTGAGCTGCCACACAAGTGCTGGGAACCCAGGGCATCTGGAAGAGTAGCCAGTGCTCTTAACCACTGAGCCATGTCTCCATGCCCTGGATGTGAGGTTCGCTCTTTGTTTTGGTCTGTGTGTGTGTGTTACATCTGGATATTATACACCATCTAAACACCAAATCAAATCTGTAACACAAGGTGCTTAGTCACTGGAAGCCATGGACCAAGCCCTGATGCTGGGCTATGGCATTTACTATGACCTTCCTTTTTCAGCATTACAACCAAGAGAAAACTGAGCTGGGGAGGCCCCGTGGCTGGCTTCAGGCCAAGTTTCCTTCGTAAAATGCGTGTGTTACAGGTTTCCAAGGCAAAACTGATGTCTACCCTGTTCTCATTGTGGATATTCGGTGACGCCTGGCAGTGGTGCTGGCTGTTTGTCAGTCCTTCACTTCACAAGTCCCCAGTCACCTCCCCCTCCTCAATCCTCCAGGGACCGCAAGGCTTTTGCACAGAAGCCTGTCCTTCCTCCTCCCAGAGTTCAAGTCGGAGATTCTCCTCCAGATTCGTCTCCCATCCACCCGCCCTGTATCTCAGTTGTAACCTCCCTGCCTATCTTCTCACCGACTGCTGCTCCACCCAAGAAACTTCCCCTAAGCACAGATTTAGTTGTTACCCCACAGCGTTCCAGTCCCTGGAGCCTCACGTGTTTTCCCTGCTCCTGAGGCTGCTCTACAGTCCCATCCACCTTGCTAAAGCTTCTGCGTTCCTCACGGTCAGCCCAACCAGTAGCTGAAACAGACTTCCAACTACCTAGTCTGTTGGTTTGGATATCCCACCCCCCCACCCTCACCCCCGCCGCCCAAATACAGTAAAATCAAGACTGTTTGGTGGTCCCTGCTCTGGTGCAAGCTTCACCCCAGTCCCTGGCACCCATATACCCAAAATCTCTGGAATGCTCTGGTGGAAGTTCCACGCCAAGTCCCCTCCCCCATCTCTCTCCAAATCCTACCGCATCTCAGAAAGCCCGCCAAATGAAAAGACTACCCCTCCCCCAGAGATGCTCAAGACCTCTTTCACGGGGTATTTAAACTGTCCCCCAGAAAACAGACACGTGGTTTTTCGGTCTCTATTTTCCCGTCTCCTCTCGCGGGGGAGGGGGCTGGAAAATCATCAGGGAGCGTTTTACCCATTAAACCTGGGCTTTTTAAAATTCGGTTTGATTTGGTCTGATTTGGACTGCGTCGGGGGAGAGGCTTATGGGGGTGCAGAAACTTCAGTCACCACCTCGCCTGGTCTATTTGAACCAGCTCTCCTCAGACTGCTCTCACTTCTGACCTGTCACAAAGTTCATCTTCCTTGGGGTGGTCCTCCGTGTTGTTAGCTGGTACAGACACGCCAGATAGCATTCTGGAAATGCTGCCCGTATAAACAAACTTTGGGCTGGAGATCATTGAATTAGAATATATTCTTGATTTCCTTGTTACTCTGCGGTCACGACGACTCTACCTAAATCCTTTTTCGCTTTCCTCCTCAGATTCTCCTCTGCTCTTTTCACAATACAATCACCTCTCCCCACATGAATGTTAACTCGGGCTTAAGTACCGGCCCTAAGCAGAAAAAAAATGTTTCCAGGTACGGTCTGCAGCAGGCGAAAGGACTCCCTCTGTTTGCCAAGACGGTGCCTAGAAGCGCAGGTAGCAACCTCCAGCCCCGCCCCAGCGCACGGGCTCCCCAGCGCACGGGCTCCCCCCCTCCCCCGCCCCAGCGCACGGGCTCCCCCCCCCCCGCCCCCACGCACGCCTGGCTACGACGAAGCGGAAGTACCAAGACCCGCCCTCCGTATAAGACCGCCCTTGCTGGCGTGGATGGACAGAGGCCTGATCCAATGAGACGGCAGAGCCAGTCTCCTTCGTCCTATGGGCTACGTCAACACAGAACGTAAGGATTTCCCGGATCCTCGCACGCCTCTCTCTACTTCAGCCGGACTGTGCTGCAGGTGAGAGGACCGTCTGGGCAGGTAAGCGTGTTCCGATGCTTGGCGCGCCCGTGGGTGCCGAAGGAGGGTGTCGCTGTACCCAGGCAGAGGTCGGGGAAGGCCAGGCTAAGGGCGGGAGGAATGAGCAAGTGCGACACGGTCGGAGTGGGCGTGGGCCCGGGCCTGGCGGGTCCTGCGTGGTCCCCAGGGACCAGCAGCGTCCCGTCTACCCGCCCAGGCCGTCGCCTTCATTGAGATTCGGGCCGTGGTGGAGCACCGGCCCAGTAGTAGTTTTTGGCATCACATTTTGGAAGAGGTTCTTGTTTTGGTTGTTGTTTTATGGTGCTTTAATTTTATGTGTGTGGGTATTTGGCTTACGTGTGTGCGCGCGCGCACGCACGCGCACGCGCTGCAAGCATGCTTGGTGTCCATGGAGGCGAAAAGAAGTCAGACAGATCCCATGGAACTGGAGTTACAGATGATGTAAGCCGCCATGCACGATGCTGGGAATCAAATTTAGGTCCTCAGTGTTCTTCACCACGGAGCCAGGTCTACACACACACCTTTTTAAAGAGGCTTTTTTTTTTTAAATTAGTATGTGTGTGGGTCTGTGGAAAATGGAAGAGACCAAATGTGTTAGACTGCTGAAGCTGTGTGTAGTTGGAGACTGAGTTCCTATGTGTGCTCTGAGTATGGAACCCGAGTTTTCGGAAGAGCAGCAAGCGCTCTTAACCGCTGAGCCATCTCTCCAACACTAGTGGTATCATTTTCGACATAGGGACGTGAAGGGGTGGCTTTTCTGAGGTTTTGTACAGCTTGGCATATGAAAGAGTTAGTAAGCCCTGGTGCTGACCAGCCTCCATCCCCAGCACACCAAGTTGTTCGTTAGTGAGAAAGGCAGCCTTTCCACACCATTTCTTCAGAATCCGGGTGCTTTTGTGGTCTCCATAGCAACCTTGAGGAACACAACATCCCTCGGAGATCCACAGACACAGTCTTGCGTGTGGAGCAGGGCAGTAAGGTGGAGATAATAAATCCGCTTCCTGGAGAAGTCAAAAACCCCACTGTCTGGAAATTGAGGTGCTGTCCTATGGGTGATTGCGCCCAGAGGTGTCGGGGACCCCCTCCTGCACCTTTAATGCGTCTTTGTCAGTTAGCTGTTGTTTGTTCTGTAAGCCTCCGTTTTCATGCTGTAAAGTGGGGTTTGATTTTATTATTGTCGTGTAATGTTTTTGTGCATGTGGAGGTGGTTCTCCTTCTGCGAATTTCGGGGATGGAATTTATAAGGATAGGGGTATTTGTGAGTGGATGCTGCCCTGAAAGGCCAGACCGCTGTGTTGGATCACTTGGAACTGAGTTACAGGAGGTTTGAACTCAGATCTTCTGCAAGAGCAGCAAGTGCTCCTAACTGCAGAGCCATCTCTCCAGCCCTTTATTTTGTTTTTTACACTAGACAGAACTCCTAATGAACAATCTGCTTTTTCCCATCTCCCTCCTGGTTCACTCATGGGCCACACTGGACAGGGCAGGTACCCACCTGGCAACTAAGGCTCAACAGCTGGTGAATGTAGGATCTAGGGTGGGGCAATTTCAAGCACACTTGTTTCTCCCCATTTCCATTTTTATCTCAAGATGCCTTAGACTCTAGATTCTTAAATTGCACAGCTTCATAGTAGCTTGTTATCACAAAATGAAATGCTACTGAAAGCAGCGTTAATTAAAGGAAACTCTGGTGAATGGAAATAAGGATTATAAATTATTGTGCTCCTGGGCATTTAAATACCCTCCATAATCATGTGTGATCTTTTCATCATTTAAGATTATAAACTTTGCCAGGTGGTTGGTGGCGCACGCCTTTAATCCCAGCACTCAGGAGGCAGAGGCAGGCGGATCTCTGTGAGTTCGAGGCCAGCCTGGTCTACAGAACGAGTTCCAGGACATGCTCCAAAGCTACTGAAAAACCCTGTCTGGAAAAACAAAAACAAAACAAAAAAAAAAAAAAAGGAAAAGAGTACCTAGCCACAGGTTTTGTTATTGTTTTGGTTTGGTTTGGTTTTTCCTCAGCAGTAATTTGCATGTAGCCAACTAGGTCAGTAGGTGCTAAGAATAGAAAAAACATTAGATTTCTTGCTAGCATGCACAAGGCCCTGAGGTCTCCAGCACTGTAGCTAAACAAAAAGGAATTCACATCCCAGACAGGAATATATAAACAACGTTTTAAAATGGACAAATAAATGCGGATATAAAGATATAAAGCACAATATGGATCTTGAAAGTGAACTTGCATTTCGGAAAAACATACTTTTCATCCTTGAATTTGAGCTGGGTTTTTGTTTTCCTTTTTTTTGTTTTATTTTGTTTGTGTAAGGGGTGCTTTTTGTTTTTGAGGGTCTTGATAGCGCAGGCTGATCCCAATCTCCCTGTATAGATTGGATATATCTATCCAAAGGATAGGCAGCCTTCAACATTCGACCCTCCTGCTTACCTTGCCGTGTTGGGGGTAACAAGAGTACCTACCACCAGGCCTAAGTTTTCTTTTTATTTTATGTGTATGGGTGGTCTGCCTGCATGTATGTCGGTGTACTGTGTGCAGTAGGTGCTGGAAGAAGGCCTTGGCGTGCATGTGGTAGTCAGAGGACAACTTGGAGTTAATTCTACCATTGGGTCCTGGTTCAGAGTCTCTTCAAATTTGGTGAGGAGCACCGTTAGGACACGTTTGAGCAATTCACCAGACCCCAGCTTTTTCTTTAATTACGCGCATGTGAGGGTGGGTGCCCTCCGGAGCCAGAAGGAACCTTGGATCCTCTGGAGCTGGAGTTAACAAGTGGTTATGAGCCACCCGATGTCAGTGCTGGAACTGACCTTCAGTGCTGCAAGAGCAATGCACGCTCTCATAACTGCTGGGTTCATTCAAGACTCTCATTCACTGGGCAGCCTTAGGCTGGCCTTAACCTAGTGACCTCACTGCCTCTGCCTCCCAAGTGCAGGCTTTTGGCCATTCAAAGCCAACTGCAGGAGACTCCCCACCTTTGACCCTAAGGAGCATTAGTTGCTAATGCAAGAGCATTTTTGTAGAATGCTGGGGATGGGGAAATAAAGACATCGAATTTGCGTGTAGATCACTCTTCCAGAGTGTTTCTGCGGCTTTGGATTAGAGAGGGAGCACCAGCAGAGATGAGAGGGAGCCATTAAACATGAACTAGACATCGGTGATGTCTCCAAGGAAGAATGACATCTAGGTGAGGAGGGCGTCTTGGAAAGGCACCAAGAAAGATGTTTCTTTCTTCAAGATGAGTAAGAATTCACACAGAGCCGAGCAGTTGGTGGCACAGGCTCTGAGTTTGAAGCTAGCCTAACCATTCTACAGAGCAAGTTCCAGGACTGCCAGGGCTACACACACACACAGAGAGACCCTATCTGGGGTCGTGGGGGAGGGAGGAGGATGAAAAAGAATTACAGAAGTGTTTGTGGAGAAGATGTGGAAAGAGTTAAGGTATTCTGATCACGTGGGGCACTGGGAAAGTGCTAGAGGCGGGCTTTTTAGGGAAGGCTTGTGTGGCAGCCCCACCAGTGACCATCATGAGCATGGGAGAGCACACAGCCGGGGTGTCTGATGTTCTGATTTCTCTTCCAGGAGCAGAAATGGGTAGAAGCATCTGGCAGAGCAGGAGACGACGTGAGCGGAGCCACCAGCAGAGCCCTGCCTTGGAGCAGAGTGGCCCTAGTGAAAGGCAAGTGTCCAGGTCGGGAGCCAGTTTTGCCCAGTGCTGCTCTGCTGTTCTGTACAGTGCTCTCTCTCACACACACACACACACACACACACACACACGCTCGCCTCTCAGAGTGAGTCAGCAGTGAAGCCAGCAGGCTCGAAAGCTTGCCGTGTTGTCATCAGCCCACTGCTCCGGAGAGTGAGGGCACAGCCATGCTCTGTGCCCTCGTGGCCACTGGCTTCTGACCAGAGTGCCAGCCGGAAGACTGCTGGTAATTTTCTGGCACAGCTGGAGACCTGCTTTTCCATTTGGGAGGGGCAAAAAACCTTTCTGGGGCGATTTAGTGGAAGTCCTGGAAAAGGATTTATAAAATATGTAGTTAACATGCATGTTGCTTATATAGATGTATATAGTATATTGCATATTTACATAATACATGCAAATCTTTATGTGGACTACAAGGTTTTTTGTTTTTTGGTATGTGTGTGTCTCTGTCTGTCTCTATATAGCTCTGACAGCCCTGGACCTCTCTTTGTAGACCAGACTGTCCTTGAACTCATAGTGCGTGCACCACCACCACCACTCCCCCCACACACACCCCCACACCTCCTGCCTCTGGCATACTAAATCTTCTATACACAAACATACACAGAGAAGAGAGCAGTGACTGCTGTGTGCCTGCTCATCTTAGACTATAGTTAAGTCCCGGTGTAACATTTTCCACATTTCATTTATTATCCCTCATGAAGGGGGTACAAACATCCTTGTCTCAGAACAAGAGCCCCCTGTCCCCACCTGGCCTTGGGTGAGGGCTCCCAGGACTTTTGACAGTAGGAATTCTTCATGCAGCCCTTGGGTTCACAGGTCGCTTCCTCTTTACGGCACACATGCCAGTTACAATTCTTCCTCCACATGTTAGTCCTTGTGTGTGTGTGTGTGTGTGTGTGTGTGTGTGCGTGCGTGTGTGTCATGGCATACATGTGAAGGTGAGGGGACAACTTGGGGAATCAGTTCTTTCTTCACCATGTGAGTGAGTCCCCGGGATCTAAAGGGGCTCTGACCCATAAGCCACCCTGGCTTAACTGTATAAAAACCCTTAATAAGCTGCCTGGCCCTTGGAGCCCTCAGCACACAGTGGGTCTCATTGGGTGTAAATTTCTAATTTGGCCCATAATGTAGAAAGATCAGCACTACACCCAATGTTAGTATGTTTTGTTAGGAGAGCCATGGGTACTTTTCGGGCCCCAAGCTTTTCCCACAAGCCAAATTAGGTAGCAGGATTGATCTATGAGAGTCCCAGCCCAGTTTTGGCAGAGTGGCTTGGAAACCTGCTGGGCACAGCCACCTTCTGGGCTCTGGAAAAAAAAATGGAGCAGTAGCCCTTGGATGAGAAAGACTAACATTTGTCATGACACTTAATCCATCCTCCTGCTGATACAGATGGGCAGAAGAAGGAGAGAACATAATTTTACCTACAGCTGTGCACAGCGTCAGTGTTGATAGAACACAGGCTGCTCTTTGCTTCCCTCAGCCCAGCTTTGCAAACCTCCTTTCATTGTGTGTGGGGAGAAGGATTATCTCAGGATTCTCACCCTGCATTTCAACCTGTCATTGCCACAGAGACCACTAGTGGCTTCATAAATTCAGTGTGTTAGCCACACTTCCATCCTGTTGTTATGGAAGAAATTACCTCTGTTCCCAGAATCCCAGTTTCTCCATCTGTAAGGTTGTCTAGCCGGATACAATTTAAACTCTTCTACTGTTGAAGCCAAGAGGAATGAAACTCATCTGGCATTGTAAGTGCTGCTGAGGATAGATAGCCCAGCTAGTAGCATTTTTACTGGCAAAGATTTCTGATTTTCTTTTCATCCTGGAAAGTTCCGAAAGATTTCACAACATGCAAAAGTGAGCAGGGTGGTGGTGGCGCACACCTTTAATCCCAGCACTAAAGAGGCAGAGGCAGAGGCAGGTGGATCTCTGTGAGTTCAAGGCCAGCCTGGTCTACAAGATCTACTTCCAGGACAGGCTCCAAAGCAACACAGAAAAAAACACTGTCTTGAAGAAACAAACAAAAAAAAAAAATGCCCAAGTGAGAAGAAAAGGGATTCCTTTGACAGGTGTCGTAAGAAGAAAGAGAGGCTGGCCCTGTTTTAGCGTGTTCACAGTAGGTATCCATGTTCCCCAAATAATCACAAAGGTCAGGTGAAGGCTCAGACCTTCTCAAGTAGGACCTACAGTCAGACTGAGAACTGGACTGGGGGATGGGCTCGTTTGATTCCCTGGGCCCCATGTTTTAAAGCCAGGTGTGGCATCATGTGCTTGCACTCCCCATCTGTCCCTGGGCTCACCAGCCAGCCCCATCTGTTTTGTGAGTTCCAGGCCAATGAGAGATCCTGCCTCAAAAAGATGGATAGCCCCAAAGGATTGACACACAAGACTGTCCTTTGGCCTTCCTGAGCACACACACTCATATTCTCACAACTGTACACCAACAGGGACACCGCAGGGACATCACAGAGCCCACAAGATTCTGGCCACCATGATGCTGAGGTCCCATCAACCTCATCCAGCAGAGCTGAAGAGTCGTCTGCACCAGGTAAGCAGTAATCTGGGTAGGGCCCCTAGCCTGTCCTCAGCAGGCAGTGAGTCTTTCCTGACAGCCCTTCCTCAGCCAGGGCTGAGATGTGTCTCTTCACTTGTTGGGGGGTTGGGAGTCCATCCTTAGCTTGAGAGAATTCTAAAGGCAAATTGATCTGCTGAAGGGAGGTGCCAAGTGTGGGGAATAATGATTCTGGGGCAGATGTTCTCCCCAGTATAGAACTCAGTGACTGGCTGTGGCTCCCTCAAACAGCGGAACAGACACACAGACTTTATTATTGGGTGGGTCAGTGTTTTAATTTAGTCAGTTGACTTCTTTTTCTTAAAGAACTTCCAGGCTTTTATTTTGACCCTGAAAAGAACCGCTACTTCCGTTTACTCCCCGGTCATAACAACTGCAACCCCCTCACGAAGGAGGCCATCTGCCAAAAGGAGATGGAGAGCAGGAGGCTGCAGCTGCTGGACCAGGAGGACAAGCAGAGAAAGGTGGGCTCTCACCCTTGGCGCCCCAGTGCATCCTCCAACTGCATCCACCTGCTACCCAATGCAGGTTGTCAACACCAGGGTCCTCAGTGTGCTGTCACTTACCTGAATGGAAATGATGAGGAAACCCCATTTACTACTCCTTTTTCTTTCTTTCCTTATTTTTTATTGTTTTTATTGAACTATATATTTTTCTCCACTCCCCTTCTACCCTCTTCCACGATTCCCACGCTCCCAATTTACTCAGGAGATCTTGTCTTTTTTTACTTCCCATGTAGAGTAGATCCATGTATGTCTCTTAGGGTCCTCTTTCTTGTCTGCTCCTGTTTCTGTTTGCTGGCATAGACCGTGGCATCAGCCTGTTGCCCATCAGTGAACCTAGACAGGCGTGGCACAGACTCTCTATCACAACTCACAGGGCTGCCTTGGGCTTGGTTTTTCCTCCTGCCAGTGAGAGACTTTTGAGAGAATACCATCAAATTTTATTCACCGAATTTCTGTCCATTTAATACCTGTTTCCTCACTGCGTCCTGTGGAACTAAATACCTGTTACCCAAACCACAGCACAGATAATCTTCAGAGAAGGCAAAGTCTCATAACCCAAACTGGAATTGAAAGTACTATATGTGTCCAGGGATGACTTTGAACTGGGGTCCAGGATCCAGCTCCCCAATTCTAGAATTCCAGGTCTGCGCCACCATGGCTGCCTTCACTAAATCTTCCTTTTGGTTTTTTTTCAATAAACTTAGAAAATTACCAGAATGGGATTTAACGCATCCTCCATCCTACGAAAAAACCAGTTAGGTCTTCTCAACATAACCAGTTATTGCCGGTAAGACAATGCCTTATTTTGACTTGAATGTTCTCTCCTGTTCTTATTTCTGTAGCCCACCTTGTGCTACTCTGTGAGAAGTCTTTGTCACTGAGGTCTTCAGCTCATTGGCTACTTTCTTTATCTTTTTGGTTCTTCAAGACAAGGTTTCTCTATGTAGCCCTGGCTATCTTGGAACTTGCTCTGTAGACCAAACTGGCCTCGAACTCACAGAAATCCCCCTGCCTTTCTGCCTCTTGAGTGCTGGGATTAAAGGCATACACTGTCACTGCCTACCTCCTTTTTTAATTTAAGCCTGGTGACATATACCCTTAATCCCAGAACGCAGGATATAGATCCCCTGGGACTGGAGTTAGAAACAGTTGTGAATTGCTGGGAATTGAACCCGAACAATCTCTCTTCAGCCCCTCTGGGCTTCTTGATCTCAGCCCTACTACCCTAACCCTGGTTTTATGGATCATACAACCTCCCCACCTCCCCCTTCAACCAGCTCTGCCTTCTACATCTTTTTTCCCAAGACAGGGTTTCTCTGTAGCTTTTTGAGCCTGTAGCTCTGTAGACCAGGCTGGCCTCGAACTCACAGAGATCCACCTGCCTCTGCCTCCCGAGTGCTGGGATTAGAGGTGTGCGCCACCACCACCCGGCTGCCTTCTGTATCTTAAGCAGCTCTGAGTAACTCTTCTCTCCTCAAAAAGGGGTGGAGACTTCATTTCATATATGGTGGTGACACGTGGCATTAAGTGTGTATGTGCCAGCTTCATCAGAGTGCTTGTGATGGGAGGCCGGAATGTAGCTTCCTGTAGTGCTGATCCACATGTCTGATTCAGTCCCTAGCATTTCCAAAAACTGTATTTTTGTGGTGGCTGCTGCAGCTCTAACTAGATCTGGTAAGAGAAGTTAATAACTCCCTCCCATTTTCTAAAGAGGAAATTGAAGTTGGAGTGGAGAGACTTGCTCCAGATAAAAACAGAAACAGCCCTCCATGCATGTTAGGGCACCCAGTGCCCGCCTCAGGGAAGGCCAGCCGTGCAGGGGCAGCACACAGCCTCCTTTACTCCCTCCCAAGAGGGAAGGGAGTCTATGCAGAAATGGCTCTTCTGGGGCTGGAGAGATGGCTCTCTGACTGCTCTTCCAGAGGTCCTGAGTTCAATTCCCAGCAACCACATGGTGGCTTACAGCCATCTATAATGAGACCTGGCGCCCCCTTCTGGCTTGCAGGCACACGTGGAAGGAATGCTATACACATAATATAATAAATAAATAAATAAATATTTAAAAAAAAAAAGAAATGGCTCTTCTGCTTGAACTGGAGAGGAAAGGGGCAGTAAGGTGGGTGGCTGCACACCTGGGCTCCTCTAACTCACACTGCGCCCCTCAGCAGCGGGTTCATCTCCCAGGCAGTCTCATCATCCTAAGAGAACCTGTACTCTGTGACTGAGCAGATCCCTCCAGAGTCTGACTACTCAGTTGTTTAGCTGTTGTTAGCATTCTGTGTGAGAACTGATGTGGAGAAGAGTGTGGGAAAAGGCAGAGACCCGGGTGTTTGCCTTTTTCATCAATTGAGACATGACCTCCTTGCTATGTTGCCTAGACTGGCCTTAAATTTCTGCACTCAAATCATCTCCCTGACCTCTGAGTTTGAGGTCAGCCTGATCTACAGAGTGAGTTCCAGGACATCCAGGGCTACACAGAGAAACTGTCTCAAAAAAAAAAAAAAAATTTAGGCTGGTGAGATGGCTCAGTGGTTAAAAGCATTGGCAGCTCTTCCAGAGGTCCTGAGTTCAATTCCCAGCAACCACATGGTGGCTAACAGTCATCTGTAATGTGATCTGATGCCCTGTTCTGGCATACATGCAGATAGAGCACCATAAACATAAAATAAAAAATCTTTAAAAAAAAAAAAAGTCATCTTCCCTCGGAGGTGCTTCTACAGAAGTGCACCCCAGCATCAGACTGAGGTGTCTGGCTGTGGTGTCCATGCCCTTCCTGCATTTCTGTTTCCCTCTTCAGTTTATCCCATGAGCTGCGGGTGAGCTGCATGGAGAGAAATAAGGTAGTCATTCAGAGCTCAGATCCTTCTGCGCTGGGAAGTGACCGGTTTAACTTCATCCTGGTAAGTGACACGTGTCTGTGTGCTCAGGTGTGGCTGCCACTGCTGGCTCGTTGTGAGTGTTCACTAAGCCTGGCTAACGGGGTGTGTGTGTGTGTGTGTGTGCGCGCGTGCACACATGTGGGTCTACTACTAACTCTTCAGTCCTGTCCTGTGACATCAAGCCTGGCTCTAGCCACATGATAAGAACAGAGGATCTTTTCTCCCTGGTTGTGGTGTGTCCAGCTGAAAAGGTGCACACTGTGGGCAGGATCCATGTGCCAGTGGCTGCAGCACAGTGGGTTTCTTTGCTCAGTGCCCCTGACCATAGCGGCAGGGCCCTGTGTATATACCTCCATCACATCGACTGTAGGAAGTAGAAGGTCTCTATTTACTGAGATGTGGGCTGGATGGAAATTAAGGCCAACTACTAGAGTCTGAGGACAGTGGAACATTGTCAGGGAGCCAGAGTGTACCCTGCACATGAAGGATCCTGCTGGCGGGATGGGAGACCTCCTGGCCCAGGAGACCTTGACAGCTGAGCTTATCCATGAAAGGAGTACTGGGGTCAGGCCCCGATTCCCCACTGCTGCAGCCCTTCTAGTGGCACCGTGGTTCGAATCCGTAGATACTTGGCTGCAGTGGGTCTCTGCATGCCCCTCCCTGACACCAGTGTGCAGTCTTCTGGCGCTGGTGCCTTTGGTAGAGAGTCTCCCTGTCACCCAGCATCACATTTGACTGTTTGGCTTATGGCTGGGAAGGCAGTTTTCCACATTTGATTCTCCGCTAGTAGGTTCATCCAAGCGTGTTAACTCTTCAAGCTTGCAGAGTAGGGGGAGTTTCACCTATGTGCGTGGGCGTACATGCATGCATGTACACTTATGCACACAAGCACATGGTATATATATATTTTTAAAAAAGATAAATATGGAGATTTTAGTTTGAATTAACAGTGTTGTGTTTTGTTTGGAGCTCTGTTGGCGGGGGAGTTTGGGGACTTTTTAGGACAAGGGAACTATGTGCTGCAGGCTGGCCTCTAACTCAGTTCTCTTGCCTTAGTAAGCTTCCTAAGTGTTGGTATTACAGGCACTGTGTTGTATTTTTAAATAGAGCAGGATCTCCCTATGTAGCTGAGAGGTTCATGATAGAACTCAACAGTTCATGGCTTTCGTGGTGGGATGTGGTATATCCTCTGGGCAACATTAAGATCCTCCCAGACTCAGTTCTGAGGGGCTCACTGATGACACCAGACTTCCTGGCCACACACTCTCTTTACCTTCTTCACCCATGCATCAGAAATGGCAGGGCAGACTCTGGGCTTTGCTCGAAATCACTTAAGTTAGGTCCCTGCCGTATTCCCTCATGGAGAGGAGCTTAGGCAGCCGCATGGCTCAGCCTGAGAGATCACTTATATATAGCCTGTTTCCCTCCAGGCAGATACTAGCAGTGACCGCCTCTTCACAGTGAATGATGTCAAAATTGGAGGCTCCAAGTATGGCATCATTAACCTGCAGGGTCTGCAGGCCCCCACGTTCACGGTGCACATGCATGAGAACCTCTACTTCACCAACAGGAAGGTAGGTCCTGCCGCTCCAGCCTTGCAGCTTGCTTGCCTTTGGGCCTAGGGCCCTGCTGTAGTTGCCTACATTCAGAGAGGGAAAGGAGCTTTATGAAGAATGCAGGAAAAGCTGTCTTACCTTTCTGAGGGACAAATGGCTTGTTAGTGCCTGAGAGCCCACAGGAAAAGGAAGGCCCAGAGCATCTTCAGTTGGGAGACAAATTTAGTTGAGGTGGATGGGATGGGGTGTGTGCCTTCACTGGCCATCAGGGCATTCTTTTCTAAAGGATCAGAACTGATGTGGAGGGGTGTGGTCCCTGGAATGTGGGCAGCAGTGATCATAGCTTGGATGGAGTCCTCTGGACATCACACATGTCAGGTGCTCTCTGACCAATAGCAACTTTTTTTTTTTTTTTGGTTTTTCGAGACAGGGTTTCTCTATGGCTTTGGAGCCTGTCCTGGAACTAGCTCTTGTAGACCAGGCTGGTCTCGAACTCACAGAGATCCGCCTGCCTCTGCCTCCCGAGTGCTGGGATTAAAGGCGTGCGCCACCACCGCCCGGCCAATAGCAACTTTTAAACTGCATCCAAGAGGCTGTGACTTCCTGTTCAAAAGGGACATGAGCCACATGGTTGAAAATGACTTGGGGAGCCAGCTAGAATCTCAGTGCACCAGATGGCTGAGACTGGAGGGTTGCTATTTGCTTGCAGTTAGCCTGAGCTACAACAGTGAGCCTAGCTATATTTTCTTTCCTGTCTCAGAGGAGGCAGAGAAAGGAACAAAAGATGAGAAAATGCAGGTCTGCCTTAGGGGTAGGGGTAGCATGGGACCCTCCTGGTGTGCAAGGGCTGAAGAAGTTTGCTTCTTCTTCCTGTACCTAAGAGCAAAACCTGAAAAAAGAAATCACATGTCAACCTCTCTAATGCTATAACCCTTGAATACAGGTCCTTATGTTGTGGTGACCCTCCAACCATAAAATTATTTTGTTGATATTTCATAACTGTAATTTTGCTGTTATGAATCACAATGTAAATATCTGATAAGCGAGGTATTTGGTATGTGACCTGTGAAAGGACCACTTGACAGCCCTCCTAAAGGGGTCGTGACTCCAGGTTCAGAACCTCTGGATTACGGGTTAACTTAGTAGTAAAGTGTTGGCCTAGTGTGTTCAGAGCTTTGAGTATAGTCTCAATCCTACAGGGGGCGGCTGGTAGGGTCATGTGTTTCTTTTTTAATTTTAAGGGATGTGTAGTATGCATGCATATACACGCACATACATGTGCACGTGTCTCTGTGTCCAGAGACACTGGATCTCCTGGAGCTGGAGTTACTGGCTGTGATACCGGAACCCAAACTCAGGTTGTCTGTAAGATCAGCAAGTGCTGTGCTATCTCTCCAGCCTCTAAAAGCCATTTTTTAGAAAAGCATTTGACCATTATTCCCACGAGCGGCAGTCAACCTAGTTTTCCCTCTCCCTGCTTCCTCTCCAGGTAAACTCTGTGTGTTGGGCCTCACTCAGTCACTTGGATTCCCACATCCTGTATCCTTTAACCTGTGATAGGTCTAATGCACAACCACAACCTGGTATAAACCTAAGCATCTGTGGAGATGGCAGAGGGGGAACGTTCTGTACCCTTGGATCCCTTTCTGGACAAAGACTATACCTGGGTCCAGAGCAGCGTGTCTTCATTAGCAACTGAAGTTCAGAGTTGACTGTTTTGACTGTTGTTGGATGATGATGAAGTTCCTATGTGCCAGGCATCTGGGATTTGGTATGTAATTTCTAGAAACAGCATTAGACCCCAGGAAGCCTAACTCCAGACCCTGCCTCTAACCACTGACATACAGTCTTGGGCTCTTGGGTCACCAGATAGACCCAGTATCCCTGCCAGGGGAGTCAGTGCTTTGGTGAAGGAGTAAAGTAAAAGGGATTAGCACAGTCCTAAAATGGTACCCAGCTGTGAGGCCGGAGGGAGAAAGTAGTGATTAGGGGAACACTGAGGAAGGCAGTGAGGGAAGTACTTTGTTGTTGTTTTGGTTTGTTTATTTTGTTTTTTCGAAACAGGATTTCTTTATAGCTTTGGAGCCTGTCCTGTAACTAGCTCTTGTAGACCAGGCTAGCCTCGAACTCACAGAGATCCGCCTGCCTTTGCCTCCTGAGTGCTAGGATTAAAGGTGTGCACCATCACCGCCCAGCAAGGGAAGTACTTTGACACTGAGCCACAAGACTATATCTCAGACCTGTGCCTTTAGAATACACTGGTTTCTGGCCTCTCAGCAAGCCAATAGGGCTTTGCTCTGAAAACACAGTAACCTACTGGGATTGCCAGCTGGGCTCTCTCTGTAAGATTTAACACACAATCATGACACTTGTCATTATTCATTCCATAGCTGATGAGTTCTTCAGCCTATGTGCTGTCATTGAACTTGAGACTTAGTTCTTCATGTGCACAGGGAAATTCATGTGCAGACATGTTACACTCTGGCCTCCAACAAACTCGCTTCACTCTGAAAACCCTGGTTCTCTGGTAGAAGACAGGAAACAGATTTCCGGGGACTAAGCTCTTAACTGTGACATGTTGTGACATGTTCCTAAGAAACTGAGACCGGATGTGGGAAATGTAAAAAGCGCTGTATCTGGACTTCCTGAGACGTGTTGATGGCCATTTTCTCCCAGAGTAGACCCTGTCCATTACACCTATCCTTAACAGATTTTTTGCAGTCTGTGCCTCATGGGCATTGCAGAGACGCCAGGCTGTGCCACCCTGCTCCCAGCATCACTGTTTGTCGGTACTCACCAAGGTATGACATGTCCTTTCTTTTGTCTTGAGGAAGGCCTGTGTCCTCTGTCTCCCTGAGGGTCTAAGCTAGGTGACCCCAGTTCAGCATATGGGATGGGACGGACTGTGGGAGGGTTCCCAGAGCCTGCCCCAGGAACAGTGCATTTTAGAGTTTGCTGCTTTTTATAAAGCCTTTGTGAGGTCATTTCAGCAACAGAGCAAAGTACCCGTGATAAAGTTCACATGACCAGCCAGCACAAGACGTCAGGACAGTGGGTTGAGCTGCCCTTAGCGACCATTCAGAGGGCGTTGGTTAAGCTCCCAAGTGTGGTAGCCATGTTGGCTGGCTGGATGCAGGTTGATTGCTCCTTCTGGCAGACCTCTGCGTGTGTGCTATGTGCAGACATCAGGCAGAGCTAGCCCAAAGCACAACTATCCCATTCCTATATTCAAGCACATTGCTTGACCTCTGAGTTGGAGGCAGTGCCTACCCCAGCACGTTCCTCATGGAAGTAGATGAGGCCAAGAGCATTTAGCCCTGTCAGGATCTCGCTGCCCAACAGATTTGTGGGACATGTATCTTACCACTTTACAGAAGAGGACAGGCCAAATTTGGCCCCACAGAACTAGTTTTTCAGTATTAGAAGTCTTGATATTAAATTCCCTTAGGGAACGATATGAAGTAAGAGTAGAAATTGGAATGGGATGTGGAGAGCCTTCTGGGATGCTGGTGTCTTAGCTCCTAGTTGGAGTAGTGGACACATGGCTGGATTTCCCCCTTGAGTCTGTCAGTTCATAGTTTCATTGTTTGACTTGAGCACACTGTTGGTGTTGGGACAAGGATTGAAGCCACGTTTCCTGTGACACCACACCGCCCTGTGACAGCTGTTAGCACTATGAAGGCCACAGCCTGGACTGAGGACACGAGTTGTTCCCAAATCATTCTCTAGTTACCACAAAATCCAGTAAAGGTCCCTGTCTTGGTCCTAGAGTTCTGGAGGCTGGGAATTCCAGCAGCACATGCCAGCCTCTGGGGAGGGCAGTCCATTAAGTGCTGATGTCTTTCTACTGTAAATGCACCATTACCACTTTGGAGGCATGAGCTCACCAGATCCTCATCACTTCCCAAAGGCTCCATCCCTGAAATTTTTCAGCATTTGACTTGGGGTGGTTGTTGTAAATCTGGACTCTGGGAGACATCCAGACCACAGCTGGCCTCAGAACAGCTTCTCCCAGTGATGTCCCAGATCTGGTGGTTGCTAGCCTGGTAACATGGAGAGACGTTACTGGGCCTGGACGGCAGCCCTGTTTTCCTTTGCAGGTACAGACCAGCCTGGCATGCTCTGCAGTTTCCGGATCCCTGGTGCCTGGTCCTGTGCCTGGTCCCAGAACACCCAGATAGATAACTGCTTCAGTACAGGTGAGTCCTGGCCACAGACCTGAAGGTCCCACGCAGCGGTCCTCTCCCCAGACTGCCAGCATCTCTGACCTCTGGGACCCATTTCTTGTCTCCACAAGGATTGTCTCGGAGGGTCCTGTTGACCAACGTGGTGACAGGACACCGGCAGTCATATGGGATCAGCAGTGATGTCTTGACTCAGCAATTTGCAATGAAGGTTGGTTGGATCAGGAAGGGTATAACAGAACATCCCTAGATTGACGTGTTTGTGGGAGTCAAACTGGGTTTCCGTGGTATAGCATCTGGGCTGCTGCTTTTACAAGAAAAAAGGCATGGGAATGATCAATGGGTACTTTGTTGTTTTGTTTGTTTGTGATTTTTTTTTTATTGGTTGGTTGGTTTGATTTGATTTGGTTTACTTGAGACAGAATCTTACTATGTAGCCATGGCTGGCCTGGAACTCACTAATGCCAGGCAGGACACACCCTTCCATCCTTAGGCACAGGTGGCAAAAACTGGGCGCTGATCCTCTCTCCACAGACTCCCTTACTGTTCAATGGCTGTCGCTCTGGGGAGATCTTTGCCATTGACCTACGTTCTCCAAGTCAAGCCAAAAGCTGGAAGGCCACCCACATTTTCCATGAGTCAGCAGTGACCTCTGTGCGGGTCCTCAAGGAAGATCAATACCTGATGGCATCAGACATGGCTGGAAAGGTAGGCAATCCTAACTGCCGGCCTCTGAGAGACCCTGGTACCAAGACACCAGGATGGGGATTGCTGCTCCATGTGAGCTTAATCTTGCCTCCATAGAAGTGTAAAGCAGTTAGGGTTCTGGAGAGATGACTCAGCTGTTGTTCCTGAAGTTCTGAGTTCAATTCCCAACAACCATGTAGTGCCTCACAACTATTTGCAATGAGATCTGGTTTCCTCTTCTGGCCTACAAGAGGAACATTGTATACATAGTAAATAAATAAATCTTAAAAAAAAGATAAAGTACAGAAGGGCCTCTAGTTCTGTGGGGCCTCTAGTTCTGTGATTTGATGAACTCAAGCTTTAGGAGTTCGAGGCTTCAGTCTCTATATTCTAAAAAGGCCACTGAAGATCACCTCATCCTCCCAGCTACATACCTGCTAGGCCCTTCCCAAGTAACCCCCGTGCTCTCTCTCCCAGATCAAGCTATGGGACTTGAGGGCCACTAAATGTGTGCGGCAGTATGAAGGTCACGTGAATGAGTATGCCTACCTGCCCCTGCATGTGCACGAGGAGGAAGGAATTCTGGTGGCAGGTGCGTGGGGAACGGGAGATCTCTGTGAGGGCTCCCGCCTCTTAAACAGCAGAGGGAAAAGTGGTAAAACTAGCACTGCACAATGGGAATTATGGGCCACTGACAGCATTACCTCAGAAACAGGCAGGTGATGAACATCAAAACACGGCAGGATTCCATCAGGCATCATCTTGTCCAAACACTGCCCATCCTGCCATTCCTGTCAGAGGATGCTGAGATCCTGGCCTTTTAACATTACCCATGATCTACAGGGGAAGTGCAGCAGTCTCGCCACCAAGCCCTGAGGGAGTTAAAGTAACTAAAGATGGTACTGTGTCCAGGCCACTGCACAAAAACCAGTGTTTGTGTTATGGAACTGTAGGCCCTTGACATGTTCTGTCTTCTTGAAGGCTCACGTGTACTAATGTCTCTACAGACAGCACTCATTCCCTGTTAAATTCTTGGCTAAGCAGCAGCACACTTTAGATGTATAGAAGATAAGCCTTGCTGAGAGCTAGGCACATGTTACAGGGGGGCCTGCTTTTTGGGGTTTTCTGTTCTGCCCAGTTCCCAATAAATCCCAAAGAAAATCACACAGAGGTCTACATAAGTTATAAACTGATTTGCCCATTAGCTCAGGCATCGTATTAGCTCTTATAACTTACATTAGCCCATTATTCTAATATATGTTAGCCACAGGGCTCAGTACCTTTTTCAGTGGGGCAGGTCACATCCTGCTTCTTTCGGTGTTGGGACAGAACTGGGGAGGAATGGGCTTCCTCCTTCCCAGAATTCTCCTGTTCTCATTGCCTCACCTCTACTTCCTGTTTGGTTGTCCCACCTATACTTACTGCCTGGCTGCTGGCCAATCAGCGTTAATTTAAAACATGATTGACAGAATATAGACAATTGTCCCTCACCAGGCACAGGTGTCTGCACAGCTACCAAAGCAAACCCCATACTCCAAGTACATCCTCTGCTGAGGCACACTATGGTTCTACAGTCATTAAGTGCTCAATTGAAATCTGATTGCTGAAGCCCCCACAGATCTCTAGGAGCATGGAGCATCTAGGTGCCACAACCCATTGTGTTCCATGACAATTTGCTCAGAACTAGGAGTCCTGCAGACTTAACTTGAATTCTTCAACCAGAAATAGCTGTCATCTGCTCTGCCAGGATGTAACAAAGTTGAGAGATCTTCCTGCTTAGTTCATCAAAAGGAACCCAGCTGCCTGGCATCTAGATCAGGTGGGCTGGACTCCCACTTGAAGAATCCCTACCCATGAGCGACTGCTGTGTGACAGCCAGCCAGTTTATCCTTGGTACTCTGCACACCTGCAGCTAGTTCGGGTTCTGGAGCAACAGACCGACTCATGGTCTTTTTTTTTTTTAGTTTTTCGAGACAGGGTTTCTCTGTAGCTTTGGAGCCTGTCCTGGCACTAGCACTTGTAGACCAGGCTGGCCTAGAACTCACAGAGCACAGAGATCCACCTGCCTCTGCCTCCTGAGTGCTGGGAATTAAGGCATGCACCACCACTGCCCGGAGTTCCGACTCATGGTCTTAATTTTAAGAATAGATTAGTAGAAATACCTCCCACCATTGGGTTTGTGTTTGGGCCTGAGAGGTCCGAAGAGCATGTCTACATGTCTTTGCATTCTCTGACCTGCTGTGTTGTCTTCCCTCTTTCCTAGTGGGCCAAGACTGCTACACAAGAATCTGGAGCCTCCATGATGCCCAGCTGCTCAGAACCATACCTTCCCCATGCCCCACCTCCAAGGCCAACATTCCTAGTGTGGCCTTTTCTCCTCGCCTTGGGGGTGCCCGGGGATCCCCAGGGTTGCTCATGGCCGTCCAGCAGGACCTTTACTGTTTCTCCTACAGCTCATTCTGTTCAAGCAATTTGGAGGAAGGCAAGTGGGAATGAATGGCAGCTTCCGTTTCTAGTGAGTTTTTTAAGTGGTGCTTGATGTATTCAGATGGTATCCTAGTTCGCGGGCAGTGCAAAATGGTTGACTTGGGGGGCTGGAGTGATGACTCAGCTGTTCAGAGCATTGGCTGCTCTTCCAGAGGACCTGGGTTTGACTCCCCACAACCGTCTTCATCTCCAATTCCAGAGAAGCCAACACCCTCTTCTTCCCCTGGACCAGGCATGCATGTGTAGACGTCACATGCAGGCAAAATACCCATATACATAAAGCAAAGTATAGTTAATAACCGGTAAAGCAGCGGTTAAATTGTGGCCTCGGAGCATGAAATGAAAGGCCTTGTCATGAGAGGTATTTACTGGCTTTGTGTCTGAGGACTCACTGGCTTTGAAGTCATTACACACTGCCTTCTCAGACGGTGCCAGTGAGTTCTGGAGTCTTCTGTTACTGTGCAAGGCATTAGAAGGGGAAGATGGAGTTGGAGAGCCATAGGCAGGCAGGTCTACAAGAGCTAGTTCCAGGACAAGCTCCAAAGCTACACAGAAAATCCCTGCCTCGAAAAGCCAAAAAAAAAAAGGGGGGGGGGGAGATGGAGCTTTTCAAGTGCTCTGGCTCCAAACAATATTCGTGCCTTCTTGAGTTTTCCAGGATGGAAGGGACAGCAGCTTCTGTTACAGTGACTTGAGTGTTAGTTCTAAAGCCCAAGACCAAATTTGACTTTTTTATAATTTTGGAACTGCAGTTTATGAATAGTGTTAAAGTCCTTTCTACTAACTATTTCAATAAAGTAAAAAGAGGTTTGTGTGATGTGTTGTTTCCGCATCTGAATCAGCTCTTGCTTCCTTCAGCTGGGGAAGCGTGGGTCTGCCCAAGGAAATCCCTACCGAGCTTGCCAACGGGGCAGAGACCCTGAGGCCAGCTTTCATAGCTTGCTGGAGACCAGCTTGCTCTGTAACCCCACTGCCGCCCTCTGCTCCTGCACCAGGAGTTTGCTCTTTAGACCTCTCCAACCTCCTTGTCCCCGGCAGTGGAGCAGTGGGGAGGGATTGATAGTCCTCTGGCTGGAGCACGAATAATAACAACCCAGAGACAGATAGTGGGGTTCAACCCGAAGATCAGAGAAGCAAAGCAGCCAACCACTAGAGAGACATTTACCTCTACCAAATCTTCAGACCTAAGGGATGAATGAGATTCTGTCTCCATGAATCCTCACACCTCTGAGTTCCTGTCTCTTCCAGTTTATATTCCTCTCTGCCCAGCCATATTGCTCACCTCCACCTTCCTAGTGCTGAGACACTGGGATTAAAGGTGTGAGCCACCACCACCTGGATCTGATTCTGGCTCGATCTTTGAGTATTCCAGGGTAGCCTTGAGTTCAGAGATCCTTTGGCCTCTGTCTCCTGAGTCTGGGGATAAAAAGTGTGTGCCACCACACCCTGGCCTGTATGGCTGTCTAGTGTGACTGCTTTGCCCTCTGATCTCCAGGCAAGCTTTATTAAAGCACAAATATGCCACTATATCTGGTTCCCTTCCTGTTGGGACTGTGAGTGTCTGACCAGAGGCCTTGGCCTTGACTGAACACAGCTCTCTGTGTCCTAATGACTGTTGTGTTCATCGCAAACATGCAGTAGGCACAGTGCTCCCCATTAAGCAATTACCCATTGAATGTTCTTTTTCCCCAAGAACCCTAATATAAATAACATCCTTGGTAGCTCACATTTTATCTGATCCCTGTAACAATTCATTAAGGAGAGGGAATAAATAGCATGGTTTATATCAGTGTCATCTTACAGACGAGGAAGCCAGGGTCCAGGTTCAGTGGGACAGCATGTGCTCACCAGGGCCAGGGACGAGGCACTGGCCTCCGGTAAAAAGCTGTTGCAATTTTAAACTCCCCTTCAAAGAAGCCGTACCTGAGCAAAGACAAGGATGATCGAGTCCAGCAGCCTGCGAAGTTCAGGCTCTTAGGATAGAATTGTGAAATCGGGGGGTCTAAAGGATAAAGGAGCAATTTAGAGTATGGCCATGGCTAAGCTCACCCAGCAGCAAGCAGTGCGTGTTATTACAGACCATCAGGCTGCTCTGGTCACATGTAGTGCCTGGATCCATGACAAATACCATGGGGGAATGTGGCAACAGAAGCTCACCAAGGGTGGACTATATATGGTATATATTACAAACAGCAAAAGGAGCTAGTTCCATTAACAAGAACATAAAAACTTCAGGCACAGATCCAATTTCCGCCCTGAAGATGATTCTAAGTTGGAAATACAAACATGGTTGCACAATTACCATTACGACAGGACCTTATTTTTCTTCTTTTTTCTTTTTTTAACAACACCTGGAAGCCTGTTTTTGTGTTCCCAACTAGAACAATCTCTAACCCCTGAGCCAGTTGTTGGCAGAGAGAAATATTACTGTTGTCACGTACCATGAACCTCAGAACAATGAGAAAGGTTGGACTGCCAAGCCGTCCTGATCATAACGGAGAGTGGCTTTTAAACTGGCCTCCTACGGAAAAGATACTGACCTTACTGGAAATGCAGACTTCACAGGGAAGGAAAACACAGAAGCAGTCGCTTTGGCACCTCTCAGGGCTTGGTTACTGACACCAGGCAGCGGCTCTGCACTGTAGCTGTGAAACATGAGCACCTCCAGGCAGTGGTGGTGCACACCTTTAATCCCAGCCACTGGGGGGGGGGGGGGGGACCGACAGAGGCAGGGACAGGCGGATCTCTGTGAGTTCGAGGCCAGCCTGGTCAACAGAGCAAGTTCCAGGACAGGTCCCAAAGCTAAAGAGAAACCCTGCCTCGAAAGACCAAAAACAACAAACCCCTGAGCACCAACCACCCACCTTCCAGGACAGTTGGGGAACGCAGCCAAAGCTCACACGATACCTGGCAGTGCAACAGGCAACTAAATGGTTTTCCGACTCCCAGTAAGCCTACCAGCTGAGAGAGCCAGGAGACATATAAGGGTCCCACCAGGCCACTGCTTAAGAGACCACTCAGCCAGGACTAGCCTCCCCTAATCACGGTGCTCATGTCAAGCGACCATCCTTACCTATAAGCTAGCTTTGTGCAGTTCTTTAAAGCCCCGATGAAGGACCCAGAGAGGAAGTGACCTGTGCAGCTGGGGCCAGGGGTTATCTGTGAGGAGAGGGACGGGCTGTTCCTGGAGTGCAGCCATGCCGTTTCTTAACCAGGGTGCTGGTCGGAGTTGTGGCATCCAGCTGGAGAAAACGAACCAAGCTGAGAGGTTTGACGCTTGAAGTTTCTGCAGGCCTTGTTTTCAGCCCACATTTAGCTAGCAACCCCCTCCCTAGCTGAAGCTGGGATTCATTTTTTTGTTTGTTTTTTTGGCCAAGAAAAGAGCCCCTTTCTGATGCCAAGGTGCTTTCTCTCCTCCACTGGACTCAGCATGAAGAAAAGAAGTTTTGCAGATCTCCTGTAAGATCTTCTATGAGAAGATACTGAAATAGGCAGGAGGGTAGAAATGACCCCACCACATGGTTAGCAGGATTCACACTCAAACACCCTAGCAACGACAGAACAAGAGGGTCTTACACAGCCAATTTTCACCTCTCTTCTCAAAAATAAGAGAAGGAGCAGGGGAAATAAATGAAAAAGCAGGGAAAGGAAAAGGTCCGGGCCAGTGTCAGTGGTAACAAAGGGACACGACAGCACAATGGGCCACAGGAAGGAGCGGTTCGGAGGGGCATGGAAGTGGTAAGCACAGGCCTGGGACATACAAGGCCCGCTGAGGCCCAGCACCACAGTTTCCCACGGCCTCTGAAGCCCACTGACCCTCATCTGTAGTTTGGTGTAGTAATGCCCAAACTACACCACGACAAAACCGCACACGGAAGCTCAGACTGAACAGCTGCTGCCAAGCTACAAACCACCAACCCCGCAGGCCAGCCATGTTTGCTCTTGGCTGCAGCTGTCCCTAGCTCTCAGCCCCCACCCCTCCATGTCAGAGTCGAAGAAGAACGTCAGTGTTGTGAGACCTTACAGAGCCCTGTAGTCATGACCAAGAATTCGGAGGCCACAATTCACCTTCTCTAAGTGAAGGGGCATTCACAGCAATCATAAAAATCGGGCCCTTCTTGGCAAGCTAATCTGGGACATGCTGGATACTGACCTGGAAAATGAGGATGAGAGATGCAGTTCAATTGGCAGAGTGCTTGCCTAGCATGCAGGAAGGTTTAGGTTTGAGACCCAACAACATGTAAATCAGGCATGGTGGTGAACACCCGTAACCTGAGCACTTGGAAGGTGGAGGCAAGGATGATCAGAGGTTCAAGTTTGTGCCTGGAGTACATGAAACCTGGGACAGGATATGGGATGTGTGTGTGTGTGTGTGTGTGTGTGTGTGTGTGTGTGTGTGCGCGCGCGCGCGCGCATGCACGCACACGCACGCGGGGACTATAAACTATTAGGAGGCTGGCTAAAACCCATCCTAAATTTAGTGTGGAGACATGCCTCTCTTGCCTTCTGCTCTATTAGCACCAACTAGGAAGGCGCCATGAGAGTAAAGAAGAGCCAACACAGCAGCTGAGCAGGAAGGTTCCTTTATGGTGGTGAACGGGTGACAGTTCTAGAGCAGGCCTCAGAGGCAGAAGGGAGCAGGTCTCAGAAGGACCAATCCATTCCAGGGCTCATGCCAGGCAGATACACACCCAGAAATGACTGCCACATACCTCCCCGAGGCTCCACCCACCCATCAGTTCAATCGATAACAATGCTGCTTTAATTCTTTTTTGGCCACTGATGATGAACTCCACCCCAAGGGAGTTCCGCACAACAGTCTTTCCAGTCATGATCGATGTGACGTCCAGGCTCTTGTTGAGAAACATCTGTTCATTTGATTTCTCTTGCAAGAACCAGAGTATTTTTTCCTTATGATCTGTTGAAATATTTATATATATTTATATATATATATATATATATTTAAAAAAACATAACCAACAGTCCTTTCTGTGCTGTTTCCCTGGGAGGCTTCTCATGATCACCCCTCTCCCCTCTAACAGACAGAGGGGTTATATGTCTGGAAACAAAGAATAAGACACTTTGAGTAATAAAAATTCTAGTGTGACACTCAGAAGCAGGTTGGGACTCCAGGGCAGAGCGGGAGGAGTCGGGCTGGCTCAGGAGTGGGGTGTAGCCTTCTAAGAAAGCCTCGAGGAGACAGATACCCTGCTAGGAGAGACCTGCTTCCTACTGGACACCCCAACTGCAGGGGCCACAAGCACCTGCATTTTGACTTTTTATGTCTCAAGTCCCTGCCCCTCTGCCCCTCTACATACACCAGTGGCTAGCACACAAAGCTGATGATCTCTGCCTAGAACAGGCTAGAATCAAAGACCAGAACTCACGCTGGGAAAGCCTGATAGATCCCCACCCCCGATGCTGCTTCAGGCAAGAGGTTCAAACCAAAGCAGCCATCAAGGCATCCCAGGAGCAGGAGGGGAAAGGGCGGGAAAGCCTCTACCAAGCTCAGGGAGCAGCAGCAAAGGTGACTCTGAACCTGGCTGGCTTCGTGTGGAAGACTGGCACCCAAAGCCACCTTATCCCTGTGCCGGGGACACACTGGGGTACGTCTTCAAAGCAGAAGCAGCCTTAATCACTCCAAATCCCCTCTACATGGATATATGGAGATACAGGTAGATAGATTTATTATTTTTAACTGAAATAAATGTAATGGACTCGGTCCATTCCCCTTTACTGAGAGCTGCTCGGGTCCTGTGCCCTGAGGTGGTTCATGCCTTCAGGTCAACAGCCAGGCTCACCTCCTGAGGGGAA